TTTCTATCTTTTTTTCATGATCTGTATAGCTTTGTGTAGAACTCTTCGACTATTGTTAAAATTTCATATCTGTTTGTAGTTTCTTCTTCTTATTTTGTTGTTATTTTTCCATTTTGCACGCTCCTTCTCAAATCTTCTATGCCCTTATTTTACTTTACTACTTGTTTAATTTTTTTCTACTTTATAGTTTCTTATCCCTTTTTTTGTTGCCTTTGTGATCGTCTTATTTCTTTTATTTAGCACTTCTTTGCTTATACTACCTTCTTTCATCTGCCGCCTTAGTTATATGGGATTTTTCGAAGATTGACTTAATTTTTGCTGGTTTTTGGTTTGTTGGACAATAGTTAGTTTGAACAGGTGAACATTGTGTTGATTATTTGTTTGTTCAATATATTGATGTCTGTTGTTGTTGGTTTTTTTTTAGTAAATTATCAATATATTTTTGGAACTCCTAAATATTAAGTGGTGTTTTACGTTCCTTTGGTTATTTCTTATTTATTTATTGTACCAAACTGATTTAACATATTTAGGTCTTTAAATAATTCTTTTTTGTTTTTTAAGAAGTAGTTGATTTCGTTTCATGTATTTCTATCAGGGCTTTTCATCTTTTATGTCTTTTCTTTTTAAAGAAGCTGTGCATTTGATAGAGATTGTTTTTCAAAATAAAATTAATAATTGTTTGCTCCTAATATGTCAGCCGTCGCTTCCAAAATTTTCCAATATTATTTCAGAGATGTCTTCCTTGGTGCCTATTTTGGCATTGAAATTGCCCCCTATTATTAAGGAGTTGCCAGGATTTGCCTTGATTGCACAGGATATTTGATCGTAGAATATTTTGACTTCGTCTGGATGTCCTGTAGTAGAGGTGTATACCTGAATGATATTTAGGATATATTTTCAGCTTATTTCAATTTTTAAGACCTACCAACGCTGTTGAGATGTGGTTTATTGACACAGTTTAATTGGCAATTATTTTGTAAATAAATAAACCGATGCATTCAACTGTCAATTCTTCTTCTCCTTTGTAGTAACATAAATGGATTAATGGGAGTGTAATCAAACTCTCTTCCTTTTTTTCTAACTTTACAGACACCCACAATATACTAATTCACTTTTGAGAGTTCTTTCTTCATTTTTTCAAATTTTTCCTAGTTAGAGAGTGATCGATCATTATATGTGGCCATGTTGAGGTTTACCTTTTTGACTCACTTTGAGTAAGGTTGGTTTACAGTGGTTGGGTTTTTGGAATTTAAATACCTTGCGTATTAATAACTATTCATATTTATTTTCACTAGTAGCTGGGAAACGTTGGTTAATTTTTGTAAGGCTCCGCGTAACGGAACCAGGCTAATATTCTATGGGATTTCGTCCAGTGTCCGCGAGAGCATCGTTAGCAGCTGCGTAGCGTGCGACCATTCAACTCAACGACCTCTTTTAATATGTTATTCTGACCAAATAGTGTATATATATATATATATATATATATATATATATATATATATATCTGATTTTTGAGACTATAGTAAAGTAAGTAAGTAAAGTGTTTTCTCTAAAAAACTTTGACCAGCTACGCTTATGGTTTTGACCAAATTTAGCATTACCTTTAAATATCAACTTTATTTTTTATATAATATATGATTCCATTTAGAAGTTCTTGCTTCCGACAAATAACGATTAATAATTCAAACAATCAACTGATTTCACTGTTAGTCAATATAGCTGTTATAAATTACTTCATTGTTGCAACGAAGAGTCATAAAAGTAAATTATGATTAATTGTTACAAATCATGACTATTAATCTCTGACAGTACATGTAGGTACCAGAGTAGATGCTGTGTATCACCGGTTGCATTGCTTGTAAAATATTAAGTAGCATTTAATCCCGATATCATGAGTATAAATTTTCAGCTTTATTGCTGAATACGTTCTTTCTTTAAGTATCTTAGCCTTTGTTCGTTTTAAAAATATAGTTAGTAGAATTTATCGAATTATTTGGCGTTAATATTTGCGCCATTCTGTTACAAATAGCACAGAAAAAAAATATAATAAACTCAGTTTTAGTTAATTAATTTCATTAACGAGAATATATATGAAAACATAATTTCTATATATATGTTCTTTTCATTTCTAATTTTCATAGGTTTTAATAAAATTCTACAATCCAAGGTTCAAATTAAAGAGTGATAGATGAAAGTATTGTGCAAAATGTGATAAAGATAAATAACTGATTTAAGAGGTTTTAACCTGGTTTAGATAATATGTTTGAAAATTATCTTATATCCACTTGTTTTATTTGTTATATAAGGTTTTTATTGGCAGTTGAAGTGCTTTGTATAAAGATCTGATCTACCTAAATCTATATCTAAGAGTTCTTTTAAAGATAAAATTTTAATTTTAATTTCTTACCTAATCTGTTAGTGAAATGTATGAAATCGCCCTTACCCTTTAAAAGACTGTTTTGAAAAGCCAATCTAATAATCAGACTAAACTACTAAAACATATGCTCTATCTCTACTTTTAATTTAGTTTATTCGTTATTTAATTATTTAGACAAATAGTTTCTAATTTAGTTGGCACATTAAAAATTTGCAATATTATCGATAGCATTTTCTAATGTTTGTGATCGTCTAAAAATTTCAGTCAGTGGAAACTGCATTCTTTTATTTTGCTTTCGACAGTTATGTTTTACTTTACATTTCACGATAGCTTTCCTAATTTTCATGATGATAATTTAATTGTTTTCCAGAAACGGATTGCCAAGTTTAATAAATCATATTTTTCTTAAACTGCCTATCCTCTCTGTATGTTATCTATCACATTACTCTATATACGGCCACTATGAATACACCAATTAACGTCACTTTTTTCTATATTCCTGGGTTCCACAGCCACGATGTTCTTCTGTCTCCTACTGACTTTTCATCTGTTTTTTTTTATAATTGGTTAAGGTTATAATTGTACGGATTTTGATAATTGTAATGATAACAACTATTAAAAATTAAACAATAATAACACGTTATGTGCCATGCCGGTTCCATCGGAAGAGTCCAGTCTCCAAACTGGTTGTTTCTGTCCTGTTGCTTGGTTTTCTTTTTATTGATCTCCGCTTTTTTCATTCATCATTAGAGTTGGTTCCGCTGTCTGAGCCGCACGCTTCCTTTTCTTTCTCTTTTCGTTTTCTTTCCTTAGAATCTCCGAATGATTTTTCGCCCTTATGTCTGCTTTCCTCTTTCTCTTTTTCTTCTCCTTATTTCTTCCTCTCTCTGGGTTTGCTGTTTCTTCCTTCTTTAGCTATCCTTCTCATCCATCCTGCTTATTTTTTCTAGCTCCAATCTTTTCCACTTCTTTTCTCTAGCTTTTCTTTTCTCGAGTTTCATGCTTTCTTTCACTCCCCCTCTTTTTCTTTCTCATTCATCTAGGCTGCTTCCTCTTCCGCCTTTTTTATATTCTTTTTCTTTCTTATCTTTCTTCGCACGAGTTGGGTTGTGCTTATCGGTCCCGTGGGACAGTGTGTCTCCCTTGGGCATCGCTTCTAGCCCACTATGTTAGCCATGGGCTATGCACTCCTTTGGCACGATGATGTTACACCATGAAGTTGGGAAGGCAATATATATTGCGATAATGCATATCCACCTACCCTAAGCATATCCGTTTGTTTTCAGTGGTTTCCTCCACTAGATTTTAGTGGAGGCTCTGGAGGAGTAAAGTTTTTCCCTTTGGGTATAGGTTTGGCTATCGAGACGTAGGTATATGACAGGTATGGGTGGGTGCCGTATGGTAGGTGGGAGTATTTACTATCACACAGAGATGAGATAGGACCTGGGTAATGGTTAGCTGACAGCTGCTCCAATTTGTCGCTTTTTACAACAAATAGAAGAAACTGTGAACGTATTCTACTAGAGCAGCACACCTTAACATGTGAAGTTGTCTAGTAATCTAAATGGACCACATCTTAATCTATAGAATTTTATGTCTTTTCATTTTGCAATGCGAAGCAACACGTGTCTTTCACGTATATGTTCTGTATACCTTATAATCTGAAAAATCAGGAAGATCTTAATCGCCAAGCCCAATATATTTTATAGTAATATGATATCCATCAATTCTCATTGAACTTAATACTTCAGCTAACCCATTTTCTACATATTTGAAATTGAATATATATATATATATATATATATATATATATATATATATATATATATATATATATAAATATATATATATATATATATATATTTATTATAACACGTTCCCCCTAAACACCCCATGATCAGTACGGCAAGAGATGTGACTTGTGACTCGTTGTCACTCCATAGATCCCTTTTGGATGAGCACATAGGACTAAAGGCAGACATAAGATAATGTAAAATTTTTCTTGTTTTGGTAATTTTTTTTCCAATTCATTATCATAGTTTTTTATGTGGTAGATCTTATTACCGATGGAGTATTGACTAGGAATCAGTTTCACTTGTCTTTTGTTTATATAGTTTTCTTACTTTATTGCTTTATTATAATTTTTTAATGATTTGTTCTATAAATCTTCTACTTAAATATTTTGAAGCCTGCCTACATATTTTGATTAACCATTCCTACTTATTTTTACATTATGAAGTTAATTTCATTACAACTTATTTCTAATTAGAACATAAATAAAATTAAAATACCAAAGGTGAAATAAATAGTGAAAATAGGTACAAATATTATATTTTTTGCACGACATTACTCTATCTATTAGTGTATTCATCTTCAATATGCCTCATGTTAGAATTAGGGTTTCTTTATTACACTGGTGATTTCAGTTTATGAAGTTGTGGTACATTTGTTTAATAAATTTATTTATAAAGGCATTTTAATAATTCAAAAAACTGTTCTTGTATAAAAAGAAGAAATACAAACCAGAAAATATTTTGCTTCTAACTAAATATTTTTTAATTTTTAGTTAAAAAAAATTGTTGTAAAGTATAAACGTATATTTAAATATTATCGTACTTTTCAGGTGTACTAGCTACAAGATGGTTTTAGTACTTAACGGTGTCCTTCAAGAGGATTGCCCACCGGATTCAAGATCGTTATACCATACTCATCCCATTTATGGAGAGACTGCTGCACAACTCCTTGGTGTCCCAAATAAAATTATTGGCTCAGTAGGACTTCTGTATGTTCAGCAAAGAGAATTAGCAGCTACAGTACCCCATGACAGTAAGTATTTACATTGTGTTTACGCAACCCTAGGAGGAGAAAGTTTTTTATTTATATTTTTAGGAAAAAAATGTCAATAAAATTTTTGTTGTTTTTAAAAGCCTATAGAATAAAATAAAATTGGGGTTTTTCAAAATTGCTATATTTTATAGTCAGTTTTATGTAAATCCCTATCTATTTTTTTAACTAAGCCCGGTAATTTATTAGTAATCTAGTAAGTAAAGTTTGTGTGTTTGTGTAATGTTTGATGTGCTGTTTTACCAGATGGAATAATCTAACTCCACTAGAGCAGCGGTCGGGGAACTTTTTAATCATTACTTTAAAATATTTTTGTGTAAGTTGATATTACCCCATGGCGAAGACCATAAAAATCGAAATCGTCTCTTTTTAGCATCTTTCGTATTATAGCCCCCATGATAAATTTGAAAAGAAAAAAATAACTAAAAATTTAAGTTAAACGTCATTTATTTAATTTATCAATATAATACCTATTAATATAGAAAATGTTCTGTCTCCGAAACATAAGGCAATGGACAGGGATTAACGACATACAATATCTGATACATATGACAAGAAATAGAGAATTAATGGAAAATCTGATCGCTAACATCCATTAGTGGATTTGCATCTGAAAAAAAGAATATATAACGGCAATAATAGTAATATATAGTTGAGGAAAAAAATTCGCCCCACCCCCCCACAAAAAAATTTAATACAAGATAATGTTTTGTTATTTTGTTATTCAAACGATATTTTTCTTGTAAAATTAGACTTTATTAATACAAGAAAAATATCATATGAATTACAAAATAACAAGAAATTATTATTTACTTATATTTTCTGTGGGGCGATTTTTTTTCCCTAACTCTATATAACAAATTGAAAACTAGTGTTGAGGGTTAACAATTTGGGGTACTGTAACAAATTATAATAATTATAATACTGGCTGTACAAACAGAAATTAGGATTGAAAATATTAGAAAAAAAAAAAGAATAATTGAAAACATTCTTCCTTCACGTTTTGGAGAAATGGTGTTGTTTTATGTTCGATATAATTGCTTCAAAATTGGGACTTTTTTATGTGAGAGCGATTTAAATACAGTCTTTAATCGATTTCTGTTCTTCGTTTTTATGTTCATTAGAGTCGAAAAGCTTAGTTCGCACAAATATGTTGTTACAAATGGCAACAATTGTTTAACCGTCTCTTCATGTGCAATTTTGATATGCAATTGCTTTTGCCAAACTTAAAGGTTCTTCTGGTAACATGACAATTTCACATTTAAAAGATCAACAATCAAACTGACAGTATGTGTATGACTATCTGAAATGTGATCTGAAAAGAGCTTTCTGAGTTTGATAAGATGTCTTACAATTGTATCCTTAATGTCAACAAAAGTAATATTTTAGCAAGCTTCCAAAATCAAAACTAACGTTGAAAAAGAAGCTCATTTTTTCTAGTCTACTTTCTGTCTCCAATATTGTAGCTTTAATTCAAACTTGCAATTGTTTGTTTAATATATTGTTAACATAAATCTCCGCGAGATATGCAACCCAGGCGGACTTTTTAAACTTATCTACGAGAATATTTTTTTGATCAACTATAAAAATTTTGACTTTAGTTTTGAGAGTCCATACTCGATTTAGTACATCTTCGCGAGAGTACATTTTAGTATATTACCTAACTTCTGTATAATCAAGTAGGTCCGTATATTCAGCTTCACCGTCCTGACATAATTAACGAAATAATGGGTGTTCAGTGCATGTCTCTTGATAAAATTTACAATTTCTTCGCTTTTTTTGACCACACATAATCTCTTGACATTTTTACAGCAGCTGGTTTACTCAAATCTTCACCAATATTGTATGGTTTCTTATTTAGAGCAATCAACCAGGCTACTTCAAAGCTAGCCCTCGATGCTGACGGATGATCAAATGTGTCAAATAAGTTTTTATTTAATCTTTATCTTTTAACAGGTATTTCTAAATTTGCAAAGTTTTCTCGCGGTTTGGAAAACAGGTGTGAATGCAAATTATCTAAATGTTTCTTTAATTGACTTTTTTTGAAAGATTCTGAAATCAGTACCTTCATACATACAACATACTGTGGTTTTATTTACGTTTGTGTTCTATTTGTATAAAACCATAATTAAGGAATTTATCTTTGTATGATTTGTTTTTCTATTTGCTGCCAACTTAAGGGAAACAGAAAATAATAGTTGTAAAATACTTGGATTAAATTTTGTGGTCTTGTCAGCAACTAACTAGTAAAAACTCGATCTCTGACTCGTCAATGTATCTGTATTTTGACGGCATGGCATGGACTGAGCAGGTAGCGGGGCCCGCGGCTGTTCTTTACTGCGCAGATATAACTCGAGAACACTCTAGTGGTGGGAAGTGAGATGGCGTGGACAGCATATGTCGCCAAACTGTTTAATTAAAAAAAATACTTACAGGTTTATCAAATAGAAAATTAAAGATACATACATTTTACTCCCAAAAGTTTCATTTTTACCCCAAAAAATTCATCTTTACCCCGCTCCCCGACCGCTGCACTAGAGCAAAGGCGTCAAATGTATTTTTAGCATAATGGTTTGTTGGTCACATTTGACTTTACTCAAAAAAAGACTGCTGAATGAATCTTTTACTGAACGATGTATTTTTCCGCCACCATTACCCGATTTAAAAATTTTGGATTTTATTTATGGAGATAAATAAAGGAGAAAGTTACAAAACAAATTTAAACCACAGCGTTAAGAATCTCAAACCATCAATAATTAATGTTGTAAATCGGATCCCTCTAGACGTGCAAATAACGAATTAATAGAGTGGAGGGATGTTTTAAGTTAGTGGAGGCTATATCGAATACTGATTTTTTAAAGGAACTCTTAGTTTTTCTATAGTCTTCTTTATTATTATTTTTTACTGATTATAATTAAAACTTACTATGGCATAACAGTTTTCAGTATTATTGCTTAGGTAATATTGTAAACATTATAAGACATTAATATTACATTTCCGGATTTAGTGCAAAAACTAATATAGTCCAGTCGTCAGAGATTTGACCTATAAAAATCATCCAAACAAGCTAAGTTTTGCTAAGAGCGTCAATATGAAAAAAAGGTTTGTCACTGCCACCCCTGGGCTTCTCCCTAAGAATCTTCGGAAGGGTGGAGATGGCAAACATCCATTTACCAAAAATCTATACGCCAAAGATAAAAATGTTTCAAAAAAAATGTAGCTGTAGTAATTTTAAACAAAAATGTTAATTAGCACTCTTTGTGTAGAGTAAACCGTTCTCTCATAAAAAACGCTTGAAGCGACCGGCTTTATTTAAAGCTTGAACTAAAGTCAGTTTCTGTAAAGCTATCAATAAACAAAAAAGCTCTTTACCATTTTTAACGGCTCTCATGAGATCAATAAAATTTATTATTTTCATTGGTATTATTAATTACTTTTCATCAAAAAACGCTGAATTTAAACTTTTACATTAAAAAATAATAATAATATCGTATGACTTTGTTTGCCGGGGAGACCCTTTCGGATTGTTTTTCTACTCTAATTGCATCTTTAACCCTGTTTAAAGTATCTAGTGTCGATGCCATCGAGCAAAAAGATAAAAGAGGGAATGTAAAGGTAGTGGGAACAAAAATATTGTTAGACAGGAAGTGCTATATTTAGAGGCCACTTTAAACAAGGAAAGACAGTCTCTTTCCTTGTTTGAGAAGTCAAATTTAGTTTGGTTATATTATTGTTTGTCCCAACTATCACATGAAATTTTATTTATATTGAAGTTTTTTACCAATTGTGTCACTTTTTAGACTATTATAGTTAATATTTAATTAAAACTTTCTCGTCTGAAAAATATTTTATAGCTATTGTTAATAAGTGTTAGAAAATTTAAATTTAGCGCCTTTGCATTTCCGGATATGTCCGCCATCAGAGGCCACTTTTTTGGTCTCCTTTTCATAACGATTAGATTCCCTCTTTTATCTTTTTTCTCGATGGTCGATGCACACTAGCCCAGGAGAACCGACGGCTTTACGTGCCCTTCGAAGCATGGTAAACGGCTAGTATCGTTTTTAGAAATGAAAATGTCATTGTTGGTGCCAAGATTACATTTTACATTACAAAAGATCTCACGTCACAGAAAAAGCTTTTACGAAGACGACATTAGATGGAGTTTGTAGCTGAAGGTGTATGGTTTAAAAAATGTACTTGTGCAATTAACAAGAATGAGTTTTAAACGGTTTAGATATATGTAATTAAAAAATGTTAAATTCAGACTTTTAAGCATATTAAATACCTCATGTTTGTTGTCAAAACTGAAAATAGAAATGTCATGATCTCTTTGTTGGTTGGGAGACATAGAATAACTCATACATAGACATAGGGAATATATTTTGTTAAATAATTTATTATATCTATCATATAATAGATATAATAAACGAAATATGTGTTAATATTTATGTTTGTGATTTAATGGCACATACTACATTTGTATCAAAAATATAAAAATTAAAAAGATATTTAAATGGAGTTAACGGTCAAAGAAAATCCTTAAATTAGTATTGGTCAATTTGTTTGTATTGGAAATTAGTGCTGTGGAAAGATATGGCTTTAGGTGTCTTAAATGAAATCTTATGCATCGAAATTGTCCTCACTGTCGTTTGTATATTGTACTGGTTTTCATCACTGTCCAAATTATGTGGTTGTGGTTTGAGTGTGATTAAATTCATGGTAGATTAGATCTATAAAAGATAAAAGGTAAAAGATCGAGAATACCTATATATTTTAAAAACTTTACGGGTAGAGGATCACTGCAAGTTAAAAGTATTTAAATATTAGACATGGAAGTTCATCTGGATGGGTTAACTTAGCATTCACCAACAACAAAACTGTTCAATGCGATCTAATGTGTAGTAGAAGCCTATATCACTACCCTTTTTAGAATGTAGCCAAAATATGCTGTTCCAAATAAAAGGTGTTTAATCCTAATCAACATTTCTTTTTATAAAATGCATTGTTAGAAGTTTGGAAAATCCAAAAAAGTCAATTTGTTTCATAAAGTTTCGTCAAAATAAGGGCTCGTTATTTTAATTACCGATGCCCAGTCATGTGGAACCTTAATTGTGACTTTTTTTACACAATTCTCCCTATGGTGGCATGGTATCACATTCTAAACGAGCACGACTAGAAATTAATAACTTATGATAAATTTGTTTTAGAGTTTTCTTTCTTCAAGTGCTTTTAAAAATATAACCGGTAAGATGCTATTTCGGTTTGGACCTGGGCACTTATTTGAATAGGGGACTAGTTTTTCTACATATTCTGTTTCCATTTTGTGGTGAAATTGAAAGTCCATAATTTTATTTAATATAAAGTCACACTAGATTCTTGTGCAATGAAAATAAGTGTCATATCCTGGTGTTGTTGGTGTTCATTTTCTAATTGTTGTTTTTGTTCTTCTGAGGCATAGCATTATATTTACAGAAATTGAATCACAGGTTTTGCAAGTGTCATTAGATGGCTTCTTAAACTTTAAATGGAGATTTTTAATTAAGTTTTTATGGATAACAACGCAACTCCTCACCGAGCAGCAGCAGTACAAAATTTTCTGGATGAATAAGGAATGTCTGCATTACCAAATTCCCCCGGTACGAACATTATTGTATTACATAAACATTGCATAAACATTCTCAAAACACGCATTAAGAAGTGAAACAATCCCCCTAATACACTTCGAGAACTACAATATGCTGCTCGTGAAGAATGGGAGAGTATTCCGCAAGCCCAGCTCGACTATTTAATCGGCAGCATGCCAAATCGCCTACAGGCATGCATATAGGTCAATGAAAGAATTACTAATTATAAGTTTTATTAAAAATTATTTTTTTCTATACTAATTTATTTTTGAAATGTAAGTTTTACATTGTAAGTTTTTCACTCCAAGGAAATAAATATTTTTTTTACATATCGTTTATCTGATTTTGAGATTTATTTAGTAATGTTGAGAATTGAAACAAAATGACATTTTACTATCCAGAAGAGGTTATATATAATAATTAATAAAAAGATGAAATACTCCAATATTCCAAACTTTTGGACAGGTGTATAATATATACCTATATAATATATATATATATATATATATATATATATATATATATATATATATATATATATATATATATATATATATATAAATATATATATATATATATATATATATATATATATATATATATATATATATATATATATATATATATATATATATATATATATATATATATATATAAACGAAGAATGATCACAGCTGTCCAATTATTAATTAGTATAATGGTAAGGTTAATTGGGTTAGCAGCTGAATAATGAAAGCCAAAGTGTGCTCTTTTCAACGACTTCGCTATATTTCGTTAAATTTCTTTAACATCTTCAGACGAATGCTACAATATGTTACAGAATGGTGAAATTGTGTATTTTACATAAGATGTAGTGAAACACTTACTTGTGTGAGGTTGCAGGCAAAAGTGGTATTAGAAAGTTCCATGTTGAAAAACTTTTTTGAAGATTTTTTTATAGCAAAAAAAAAAAATAAGTTGTATGTGTTATATGGTGGCTTGAAAACTCAAACAATACAAGTGCATTTCTGTTATTTTCCTCCAGTGCGAAAATAACAGAAATGCACTTGTATTGTTTGAGTTTTCAAGCCACCATATAACACATACAACTTATTTTTTTTTTGCTATAAAAAAATCTTCAAAAAAGTTTTTCAACATGGAACTTTCTAATACCACTTTTGCCTGCAACCTCACACAAGTAAGTGTTTCACTACATCTTATGTAAAATACACAATTTCACCATTTTGTAACATATTGTAGCATTCGTCTGAAGATGTTAAAGAAATTTAACGAAATATAGCGAAGTCGTTGAAAAGAGCACACTTTGGCTTTCATTATTCAGCTGCTAACCCAATTAACCTTACCATTATACTAATATATATATATATATATATATATATATATATATATATATATATATATATATATATATATATATATATATATATATATATATACAGATGATTGCATTATTTCTTATCCGCATTTTGCATCAACACTTAATACGAAATATTAGGCTGAATCCTCTGATCAAGCCACCATAATGTTGTAAGATTCGTGTTAACAAGAATCAACTTCTTTTAATTATTTAATTGTCTGGAACAAAGAGTAAATTAGCACGGGAATTACAAAATTAATTTCTTCTTCTATTTTTAGAGAACGTAAACATTCTTGGAGCAGATGATGTTACCACCTGCCTTATCGTAGTAGTTAGACATTCTGGTAAGTGTTTATGAGTATTATTAATATGAATGAGCAGTCTTTTGGCAAATGACAATAAAAATAATTATATGGAGACTACTAATCTTGATGGTTAAAATACCAGTGCACTACCCATTTAATGAATGTAAATTGAGGTTGACGTATTTATATGTATTTATATTTGGGAATATTTAGCTTTTATTTATTTAGCACGAATGCAAATTTATATATTGTACTGTAAGTTGTCATGATGTTGAATATATTTTGTAAATAAGTGTCCCATATCAGAGCAGAGAATCACAAAACGAAATACATCAATTATATAATTAATATATCAATAAATACTAAATACAAATAATTATTATGAAATTGCCTTTATTAATTCTTATTAACCTCTTTAAATACACCACATTTTTAATATAATGTATAGGGAATATCGTGGTAAAACCCAGTTGATGCCATTAAAATTATCATTATATATTAAATTCAGTTAATTTACTTTTGTGCCGAAATAAAAACTTTCATGGCAAATTTAGATCATAAACCAATCTCTTCCTCATGATTTCACTAAATACAACAGGTCGTTTATGGTCTTTAGGTAGAATATACCAAAAACTAAGAACGACAGGTCAATATCCGTGATTTTAACACGTTTTTAACATCCCGTAAAGTAATTCCTACTTCCTTCAATGTTGGGGACATGTTTCATTAGGTAAGATTAAAACTGTCGAGTGTTTTTGGTAGAAACTATTTCTTCAATAAACAAAGCCCCAAAATAAGGTTCAAGAATTCGACCATGAGATAAGTGGTCATTATTTAATTATTTAAACAATAAATTTTATGTTAAACAAATTGTAAAAAATATCTTTTTGGGCAAGAGCAAATTCTTTTTTTTATATTTTTTAATCACTGTGAACACAAAGGTCGGTTGCAATCTTTTTTAAAGTTCATCGTTTTCGAGTTATTAATATTTTAAAAATGAAAACAACTAAAACCTACGATTTTTAGAATGCTGAAAAAACACATGTATTTTTTATTAGCCCCACTTTTGTTACAATCTACTTACACAATCCTAACCTAAATATTTAGCTAGAAAATAGAAAATAAGTAATAACAGTGACAATTCAAGTATTATGACATACAGTGAGGCATCCAGTGATGTATCCCTTTTTTAAACTCAGTCTTCAATATTGACTATAATTGACACATATTTATACACATTTTTAATACATTGAAAATAATTTATTATACAAATTTTATTGCAAATGTCTACATTCGGGTTTAGTCAATTCAGAAAAAAACGTAATAATTGATACCTTCTAATTTGAATTTTCACCCGACTTTATTATGACCACTCCGACAAACTTCAATTACATCATGTAATGCAAGAAAGCAAACCCTAAGGTATTAAGCAATATATCTGTACGTCTCATTCATATGTTCATTTATATACTATAAATTAATAATAGTTGACGAATCTCTTAAAGTTTAAATGTATTATTTCTCGCGAGATATCCCTTCCCTTTGAGCCCAGATTTGTTCTATAGGGTTAAGTTCACAGTGATAAGGTGGTAATCGCAACACTTTAACTCCAAGTTCTTTTGATATTTGATCTACACCATACTTCTTAAATTTAGATTAATAGGTTTGCTTATTAGCCAAAACAGGAGAGGCAGACCCAGAGCACGGTTTAAGGATCAGGTAGAGGAAGACTTAAGAAGGTTGGGAGTACGAAACTGGAAAACCAAGTCGAAGAATAGGGGAAAATGGAGAATTATCCTTGAGCATGCCAAGACCCACCATGGGTTGTGGAGCCAACGATGATGGTTAGCCAATACAAGAACCTTTCTCTATTTAGTGATAGGCAACGATTTCTTTAATCCTAAATAGTAGTTGGCAGTATCCATGACTATTACAAATGTGGGTCGGTAATAAATCTATCATTTGACTATAATATTTCTTAAAAACATCAGCAGTCATTTCTTCATGGTATTCGTCTGTAAAATTTGAAATAAAATCTAACACGCCTCCATCAACAAATGGAGCGATAATTAAACGACGCCCTTTATTTATCCATGTTTTATCTAAATTAAAAATACTTTAGACATCTCTTCTCAATTTTGGAATTTCACTTAAATATTGCATTCTCCAACAAATAATTTCTTCTTTCGTTATCAGCGAAGATTTTTTATTGTTACTTTCATAAACAAGTCCTAATTCACGTAAAGTTTTTCACAATTTATCTCTTTTAATGTTGGACAAAGATTCGTCTTCATTAGTTTTTACTAGAAGTTTATCCAAAGTAGGAATATTATTTTGTAAATAAAATGGATGAACTTTTCTTCAAATCAGTTATTTCACTGTATCGTTTATATGAATGAGTTTTCTTCCTGTTGACGTTTTAGGTACTTCTGGTAAAAAAACTTCCACTTTTCCGTTGCTTTAAAAGTCTATAAATAGTTGCTTCGACAACTCCAATCATATCTGAACAGTTGGAAACTTTACTCCAAACAGTACTTGTAAAATATTCATGTATTCAAGATAATCATCTACATTTAACACTAAAGTTTTCATTAGCACGACTTAATGACATGATGAAATTTTAATTTTACTGGAGTAAAATTAGACGTTTTTGAAATGTTTACTAAACAAGTTCACTTATTATTGTTGCTTTTTGTTATAGAACTAACAATTCTGTGTTTTATAATTAGAGGACCTTACAAATATAACCTGCTTATAAATTGACCCTCACCTGTTTGAAAATTGTAAATATTTTGTACCTATAGAGATTACATACTTACCTCATTTGTTACTTAAAATAAATACAAAATTTAAGTCACGAATTAAAATAAATTGGTACCTATGTTAAAAAAATTTTAGATAAAATCTAAAAATTTTCAGAACAATGCTGGATATTTTATTTAGAAAATCTCCTGCACTGTTTAATGATGTTATATTGAGTTTTATCTTCTCTGCAATAAAATTTGTGCTATCAATCATTTTCGAATGTGGTATAGTATTATTCAATTAACTCTATATAACTCTATATTAACTCTTTTGTAACGTTTAAACTGTATGCGGTTTATTCACTAGACTTTTTGAAAACACATTCTGATGCAAGTTTCTTTCTATGTTTTGTGGTGCACTTTTTGTGCGAACAAAGCAAGTAAAAAAATTTATTTTTGAAACCACCCAGTGCCTAAATTCAAGTTTAAACATTCTTCTCATTCATTAGTTCTTCATACAAATTTTGGAAATATTTTATTTTAAAATATTTTTATTTACTTGTTAATGGAACGCTTATAACAGGGACAAAGCGAAGTATCTTTAATAAATCAACCATACATTATTTTTAAATATATTTGCGGGAAAACTAAAAATATTGAAGGATTTAATAATTTAACCACACATTAATTTTGCCCGCCACAAGGCATTGGCTGGCAAAATTTGTAAAGAGTATAATAAATCAACTACACATTAATTTTAATGTCTTTGGTGGAAATATTTAGATTATTTGTTAAACAATTTTTTATTTATTTGTAAGAATAAATAATAAACTTTTATTAACAAACTTCAAAGGCAAAGAAGTTTTTAAGATTTTATGTAGCAGCAAAAGGAAAACACATATAAAAATGGGAGAAGTAAAATATTAATAATCTAATATTTGCCAAAAATGACAAAAATGATGAAATATTATACAGAGTGGCAAAAAAGTCTGGAAACAGCCAATTATCTCGTAAATTGTACAAAATTTGAGGTACACCTATTTTGGGATACGGAGATTCCATATTTGATATTTGCAATGTTGCCAGATTTGACGTTTCTCTGATATTATTAGTAACTTTGGTTTTTCAAATGCATTACCCTGTATATTCAGTCATTATTAGAATCTTCTATTTAATACGAGTTCAACTATATGTAACACTTACTATTATTTTCAACTACATTAAAACGTAACAATTGACAGATTAGACAATTTTTTCACGTTAACGTTAACTTTTAATAGTTACGTTCTTCAATAGGTAACTGTTCAAAATGTGCTCAATCTGTGAGTTGACAATACCCTAATCGATGGTAGAATGCGTCTACCACATTTCTCCATGATTTTCTAGAAATTATTTGAGATTAATCGATAATTCGTTGCCTTTGCTCTGCAAGACTTGACTGGTTAAGTTTCTAAACTGAATTTGTCAGGTATCCCTAATAAAAATAATCTTTAAGATTGAAATCGGGTAAACGTGGAGGCCATTAAATTCTACCTTGTCTACCAATAATCCGTACGATAGGTACGGAAAATATCTCATCTAAATAACGCTGAACATTTACACCAACTATCTGACGTTAAATTTCCTTCGATAAAAAATGACCCAATTGACTAAGTAACTGACAGTAGTTGTGTTTCGAAAAGTTCCGCAATTTAAATTGCTTCTCTAAAATGCCGTTCTCTAAACCGTTCTCCTATTCGTAAGGCGACAGTACAAAAAACTGTAAAGCGATTTGAGAAATCTGAAGCAGGTAAAGATAGATGGAAAGAGAAAAGTTTTGTTAAAGATCCACATACATCCTCAGACAGGGTTGCACAAGTACATGATGTAGGTCGTTCTTCAGTCTTACGTATATTACGTAAAAATAAGTTTAAACCATACAAAATAAACTTATTGCAAGAATTAAGTGAAGATGACTTCGATCTTAGATTAGAGTTTACTGAGGTAATGATGGATAAAATTAAAAATTATTAAAATTTCGTTAACAGAATATGTTTTCCGATAAAGCAATCTTTACACTGTGTGGAAGTGTAAATCGACACAATTTAAGGTACTCGAGTGACGCAAATTCACACTGAATGCGTAAAAACCATACTCAAAGACCACAAAAATTAAATGTATCGTCAGGTATAGTAGGTACCTATAGTAGGTAGGTATCGAAATAAATTTAACATCAGATAGTTGGTGTAAATGTTCGGCGTTATTTAGAGGAGATATTTCCCGGACGATAAATTATTAGACAAGATAGAATTGAAT